TCCTCTAAAAAAAAAAAAAAGAAATTAATTCTCTTTCTGTCCCTTTGGTCCTCATAGTCTCTGAGTTCTTCATCTGCTAGATCTGTAAATTGGAAGGGAAACCCTATTGACATCAGTAGGAATTTTACTACTGAGCTCGGTTGGGCCACCTCTTTGCTCAATTCCACCAGTCAAATACTGCTACTGAAGTTCAATTTGAGCTGTTACAGAAGGGCTTTTGACTTCGTCTCTGTGTCTTGATATGTCACTTTAAAATTTTCCTTTTATCCTACTTCCCCACAAATCTCAGGTTCAAGGTTTGTTGGTTTTTTTCCCCGTGTACAGATAATTCTGTCCCTTTGCTTGTGGTAGTAGTTTTAAAAAATTGCTGTGGAATCCAATCTGTCTACCATGAGATGAGGGCTAATAATATTCCACTTCAAAGGTTTGTTTTCATGTATGCCAGATGCTTACTTTCACGGGTGGCATTTTTGTCAGTTCTCCAATTTTACCTTTACTCTGGTTTCTCCCAAAAATTGCACAGTAATGACCCTGACATTAATATAGGTTTAAGACATCAGTGGTAATGTCCAGTCATAATTTATCATTGTGGAGTTGCACAGCTTCTCCCACAGTTCTGATTTTTGAATTAAGGAGATGCAATAGTCACGTATGTTTTGGAATGGCATCCAAAAGAAGCTCTGAAGTAGTTTGTCTTTAGCCTGAGTTCTCCCAACTGCTGTGCAGATTTGAGTTGGTAGCCGTGACTTAGACATGAACGTTCATCAGAGTTGCATCCTTCTTTGATTCTGGCCACAGGATCCTGTTAATGGTAGGTACAGTTGAAAAATAGAATGAAACTGTCCTTATTTTGAGAAGGAAGATCATTTGATAAAGAGCATGGAATGAGCCTTTGAGAAATGTGGAATGACAAGCCACCTGAGTGAGGGTGAAAGTTTAAACAGTCACTTTTCCACCTGAGTGCAGCTTTATTTTGGCACTCCTTTTTTCTCTCTTATTCTCAGATGCAGATGGAGACGAGGGAAGAATGGTTTGGCTGCCTGAAGCTTACTATTCTATGCTCATTCAACGCACACAGCACAGCAGTTTACCTCATTTCTGGGATATTTTGGTGATTCCTAAGGAGCATTTTGAATTATTACCCCCTTCCCTTAGGAATGCAAAGACCCTGAAAAAAAAAGGACCTAATTCTTCTGAGATGAGTCTTAATATCTTTAAACTGGTGTTCATTCTCTCCCTCTCTTCCTCCCCCACTTCAATTAGGAGCAATTGGGTGGTAGTAATTAACAATCATAGAGAGAAACATCTGCTAGTACACTTAAGCCAGTCAGTTTGTTTTTCATGAAAGAATGGTATTTCACAATTTTTCCAAGTTAATATTTTTCCTTTTTTGTCTTTCCAATTTCAAATATTGTCCAGACGCATTTTTATAGTGTCTTAGGGTTATAGAAGTGAATACAAGACCATTAATAATGAACAAGGAAAGAGCATAATAAAGAAAACATATGCAGTATTTCAATTCATGAAACATTCTGTTAGGGAACATTGTTTTTGAGAGCATATGGTTATTCCCATGAGAAGCAATATATATACTTTTTTCCCCTCCAGTTGTGGATTCCCACAACAAGGGTAGGTTTCTATATGTATTTGTCTATGTAGCATGTTCTCTTTGTCAGGGCTTGTTATCTGAGTGGGGAGGTAAGTATTTTTGCACAGATGATATATTGTATGTGGACCTATTTCTGATGGCCTAGACTTTGGAAACACAATTCTATTAATTCTCCACACTCCTTTGAGATAGCTATCTTGTCTGGTCTAGTTTAATATCATTGGCAGAGCTGAAAGGAAGCTCACATTGTGAATATATCTGAACCTTGGCATGCAGCTCACTGGTGGATCTCTGTTTACAGGCTGCCAGTTTTAACTGCCCCAAGCAGACATTCTCATTTTATTTATAAGTAGGTTCAGCATGTGTTTATATCCTTCATGAAATTGAGCACATGTCAATAGTCAAAACTAAGTATAGAAGCAAGATACCAAACACTTATCCTTCTTCTCAGACAAAACAGTAAGTATTTTTAAATGTTCATTGGGTTTGGATAAGGCACATGAGGATATATGTACAGACACATTGTTTGATCACTTGTAAATACTATTTTAATATCCCCATATTCCCCTTTAAAGTTTCCTCGTTTAGATCTCATTTTTCTTTGCTGAATGAAACTTGACATCAGGATGAGATCACCAGATTTCCCCATTCCATTTGAGCTCCAAAATGAGTAACTGATTTCAAAGGATAATTCCCTGGAGCAGCAAGGCCAATGAGTTCTTCAGATCAAAGGTCAGCAAAGCTCAAAGAGGATAATTTCTGGCATACAGTATTTAAACTCTCTCAAGGAGTGTACTGCAAGATGTATCCCCTCCTTCCCCAATAGCTCAACCCTTGTTTTTCTGAGAAGAGTAATTTGTCAGTGCACATTTTTTCCTCTGTTACATAAATTATACATGAAAGGGAAAGCTTCCTATCTGAATACACAAATTGTACATCCAGGCAGGTTATTAAACGTGCCAGTGGAAGGGCTGCTCCTGGAACCAGAAGGTACCACTGTCAATGTAACTGTCTTTTTTATGAAGGCCCACGTTACCTTTTAATTTCTTGTTGATTTTTGAAGGAAACAACAGAGCTGGACTAAGGTAGACAAGCAAATGTTGTCTTTTGTTTTATGGGGGTCTTTTTGTGGCCTTAGCTTTGAACTTCCAAGAAGGTTGAGTTGTATTTATGGACCAAGTGAATATAAAGCAAATGGTGGTTCTTCAGATATACTTTAAAGTTATGTATTGTAAGTAATATTTATTTTAATAAGTGCTTTAAATGTCATAAACACTATACAAAAACCTCATAAGAAACAGTCCCTGCTTGTCCAATAACACCAAATTAAAAGGATCAGGGAAGAAACTGCTGTGAAGCCAGCTTTGCCTTCCTTTGTCTGACCTTCCTACTTAGTTTATATTTGGTGTAGGGAACCCTAACATGACTTGGAGCAGAAATCAAAGGGTATCAGCATGTCAGTATGTGTATAATAAATACTATCTCTGCTTGCATTCGTACAATGCAAATTACGTGTGTGTTGGGAAGCTGCTGTTAGTATAACATCAAAACTGCAAATAAGTATCAAAGTCAGGAAATTCCAAGGGTTAGGGTTTCTACTTCATTCCCCCTTTCTTTACTGCACATCCATCTTGTATACCACAGTTTTAAGAACAAACAAACAAAAGTAAAACAACAATGTTAAATTTAAACAAAGAAATGAGACTAGAAAATGTGATATGTGTTGCAGGGTGGCAATGTGAATGTTGTGGCAAAAATCTTAGCTTCTGGAGTTTCTGAGAGTATAAAGACATGGTAATGGGAATTGGGGTTTTGGTTTGGTTTTTTTTTAAGCTAATTGTTCTATTTTAAACATGAAAGAAAGTGCTGGAAAATGCCTAATAGAGTATCTTAATTTCTAGCATGTTAGTGACTTGCTTTCCTGGAAGAATGCTTGGGAGGCAGCTCAGCAGTGTGGAACACCAGGAGAGCCACAGAGTAAACCCAGTTTGAAATGGCTTGCCCTGAACTAGAGGGGATCATATCTCCCTTTTTGTAAGGAATCTAACTTGACTGAACTGGCACTTAAATGAGATCCTACTTACAAAGCATCTCCAAGAAACAGTTCCTACATAGCTGCAGCGCAAGGGAAAAAAAATGTTGACTTTAGGACCCATATTCTCCCAATATCTGCTAATTTTTGGGGAGTAGGCAGGATTACTGCTATACATAATGGAGTATAGAGATAACACTGTTGGCAGAGGTGTCGTATAGTATGGCCAGTCTTCGTGAACAAAGATTTTGGGAAAGGTCTTTTACCTTTCAAGCCTGCGCAATGGATTTTTTAGGTGAGACACAGCCTGCGCTGAACTGAGCCCACCCTTTAATCCTAAGGTTCATCTGCCGGGGCCAAGCAAGCTTGGACAATGGCAGTGAGGTCCTCAGGACGTAGGTTTGTTTAGAGTGACCTTCTCATAGATGGATGGCCTTACAGGGCTGACGAGCTCCATCTGCCCGGGGGAGTATCCCTGACCGGGAATCGAACCCGGGCCGCGGCAGTGGTCTAGTGATTAGGATGGCAGAGGTGTATGGATGTGTAAAAAATCATATCTAAAAAGTCTGAGAGTAGGGTTAAAAATCCATGTATATTTTCATAATGCTAATGAATATAGAATATAGTTTTCTTTGGATATAGGCTTTCATCATGTGCAAGGCTATGTGCCTCTGCAGGAGCCAAAGGCACAGCTATTAAGTTCCTAGGCATTTGTCTTCTAATCCACATGAGAAGCATATATCTTTCTGTTATATATCTGGTATATGTTATGATAGATGTTGATATTGATGCTCTTTATGAGTGTTATTGATTTATGCAAGTGCATGATGTTTTAACTTGAAACTTGGGTGAAATATACTGTTTCATACATACTTGAAAAAATGTAGCTTAACCTTTTTGTCAGGTAGTGCTACCTTCTTGGAAGGTAGTAGGGTTAGTGTGTATTTGAAGAAGAAAATTGAAACAGAATGAGGACTTTATTTCAGCTTCATTACTTCATTCACTGCCAGTGAATGTGATGTGTTTTTGCAACATGTCACCAACTTTCAATATTTTGCAAATTATTCAACTTATTTGCAGTAACAGTTCTGCTGATTTATATTCTCATAATATTGTGTTTGAACTTCCTGTGACTCTAGTGATGTTTGTAGGAGAGGCTGTGTACCAAAAGCTGTTGGTAGATTGTCTGCTGAAATTATCCCAGATGTGTAGTGAACACAAAAGCAAATCAAGTATAATGATCCTCTCATACAAGTTTGCTGAAATCAATTTCACCCTAAATATAAAGACAGATTTGCAAATATAAGTCTGCTTTGACATTTCCTTATAAGCGTTTTTTCTTAAATATTCTTTTCGCAGTGGCTTTGCCTCCAGAGAAGACAGATGGAGTTTGCAGTGGAGATGAAAAGAAAGCAGAAAAAGAAAGTGACACACGCACAAGTTCCAAGAAGCAACTGAAATTTGAAGTAAGTCCTCTGTATTTTAAAGTTTCACTGTACTGACATAATTATGGTAAAAAAATAACCTGTGGACCAAATAATGTCATCTGATGCACGTTTATTGCTCTCAGCGATTGTGATGGGCACAGGAAGCAGCAGAATTGGCACAAATCAGTGCCTTACTATTGGTGCTCCTTACGAGGTGATTAATGGCATTTATTTCCAGGTTTGGACAGAATAAAATGATGATCATTCCTCTGTAGGATCTGAAATATATATTAAGAAGAGGCTTTAGGTTTAACCCTTTATCTATTATGCCAGTTATCGTGTTATCAAATCTTTAGATTGACTTTCATGGACTACTGCACTTGGTTAAATCTGCCCAGTGTACAAGATGCTTGTGAAAACTTCCATAATGATTGGTCTTTTGTACTCAGGTCTCCAAACTGAAATAACTCTGACCTCCTGCGGGGGAAATTCGTCTGATCACATGGCAAGAGGAAAAGGAGGGCACTGAGTCCAGTAGTCTATCTCCTTGTAGACTTACAAACATCATACAACTGCCAACATTGTGTGTAGTTGGTGGATTTTGTTTATATAGGGAGTGATTTAATAAATATGAGTATTAAAACATGCTGTCATCCAGCTGGTGGGTTGTCTGTCTTGGTGAGGAGGAAGATATTCTGGTGCCAGCAAGAGACAGCATGAATTTTCATCTCTGCACTCTAGCAGACATGGCAAACTTGTGCCTTTCAGTGCTGTCAGCCTGTCACAGTAATGAGCTTTGCGTTTCCTCAACTGCTGTTTAAAAGACCATGCAGCCACCTTGCAGCATGGCTCGAGTGTTCATTTCCTCCTCTAGGACAGACTGAATAGTCTCGCATGATTTATTTTTTACTGTTTTAAGGCTGATTAAGAGGATGTAGGTTTCTCATGGGTGGTTCAGATGTTGCTAGGTGCTTGTGGGCCTTCTGGGAGGAGGTGACTTTTCCTGCCCATTTTTCCCCACAGTGATAACTCTTCTTCTAGGCACATTTTATATTCTACCTTGAGCAGCAGACATTTGCAGACAGGAAAGGCATGATAAATTGCAATTAACAGTGCCTTGATATTTGAATGTTGGAGGACACCTGTCAACATGGTTGGTGCCAGAGTAGCTGTAACTCCACTGTGCCGGCAAAGTCTGCGTTTGTTCCCAAGTAGTTCTTGGCATGCCATAAAGGTTAGCACTTGGTACTAGGCACCGTGACTAATGCAGGGAAGGTTTCCATGGCTCTTAACTAAGCAGAGCACATCCTCACATAAAGATGTTATGTTAGGCAGTGTGGGACAGGGAAGTATTAATATGTGGCAAGAAACCAAGTATTGATATTTTTCCCCTTGTTCTACAAATGAAAGTTTTCCAGCTCTGTAAGCTGGGAGCCAAGAGATTGGTAAATGTTTCAAAGGTATAAAAGAATCAGAAACACAAGTGTTGCGACAAGAGGTCTAAATCCGAGGTGGATGTGATTTGGCTTTTAAAGGTGCCGGTAATGTTTATGTAATACGAGACTGTGTTTCCACAGTGGAGTGTGGGGCACTTGGCAGCTCTCAGCCGGGCTTGTTACAACTGAGAGAAGACTGCCTTTGAACTCGGCAGGGGACAGGGGGTACCCGTTACTGCTGTAGGGAATTGGTTTCAAGTCAGAAGATCAACCAGGTATTTTGAAGTCTATCAGGCTGAATTTATTTGGAGCTGTTTATTTTACTTGCATACAGTGACTTTCATTTTAATTGCACTGTAACTTCTCTGTTTTGCCTTTTTGTGGCTCTGGATAATTCTGATTGCACAGACTGATTGAGAGACAGCAAATGATTTTCACTCAGGTGACTGGAGTCAGTCAAAGTGCATCCTTTGTTCTTGACCGAAGTCTTGGTTTTGGTTTGGGGATTTTTTTTCCCACTTTAACAAATTGATTCTTTCAGGCTTTCCACAAATCACACTCTCACTAACAGAAGCACAGTTAAAACGCGGAGCAGGCACCACTCCCAGGTCATTCTTACTTGCCAGTTCCTAGGCAGGCTCCATTTCAGGAGCTCCAGTGGCATGATGCTGCACTGCACTAACTCTGACAATCTTTGCCTATCAAATATCTGTGCCAAGGACAGGTCTCTCTGGTGGGGATTTGTGTCCATGTTGTATTAACCCCTGCTCCTGGCCCTCTATTGTGCTGCCTCGTTCTCTGAGTCTGTTGTCTTCCTGAGTTAAGCAGAGTTTTCCTTCTCAGTTTTTAGTGGGAAAACTTACTGTATTTCAAGAGCTTCAGGGAGTAGTTTTCTTGTACCTTTTTCTGTTTTCTACAATGAAGTAGAAAGCATTTTGTGAATTCCCTGAAGTGTAGCCTAGAGAGTTAGGATGGTTATGTGATTGTGATGAGACCTCTTCATTGCGGTGGACAGAGGCCTCTCCAGAACATATCCCGAAAGTTTCCTCCCACAAGGGAGGGAGGAAGGAAGAAAGCAAGCAGCCTCCTTCTATGGAGAGTCTCCTCTGCAAACAGGCCTTTTGCTTTAGGTAATCAGCTGCTCTTTGCATGTTTCTTAGGAATTGCAATGTGATGTGTCTGTAGAGGAAGATAACAGGCAAGAATGGACCTTCACACTGTATGACTTTGATAACAACGGAAGAGTCACACGTGAGGTAAGCAAAGTACAGCTGCCCCTTTATGTGCAGCGTTTGCTAATAAGATAAGTGTTTTATAACAGGAACATTTTTTCTTCTATGAAGCAGAGGTGTCCTGCCAACTTAAACAGCAGTTTCCATGGACCCTTCCCTCCTAGAAACAATCCCACCACTAGTTTACTGTTTTCAGATGTACTGTACCATTTTTTAAGCTGGTTGTTGTTTAATACCTGAGATTAGCCTTTAAAAAATAGTACTGGCATTTGAGGAGGAAAAATATCTGAAACAACTGAACAGCTAAACACACTGTCAAAATAAACCCTTGCAAATGTATATTGTTCTGGCTTCTCTCCTGCTTTTCAGAGTTAAGCTAACCAAATAGCAAGGTTGCTTGCTGACATTCTTTCCAATAGTACTAACTATACTGTTCTATTGTTTTCATGAATATTGGGCTGATCTCTGCCTTATCCTTCCACATATAGATAACATTGATGATATTTGCTGGAGGACCATAGTGAATGGCTGTCACAGCATACCTGATTTTTTATTATCAGAATATCTTCAAGTCATATTTCCTGTGCAAATGAGAAGTTAAATAAGAGAACAGATACCGATTAGAACTAGATACAGTTTCAGAACTATTTCTACCCAAATTGGATAACACTTCTTCTAGAAGAATGTCTTTTACTTGAGATTTACTGCCATGTGCTGTCATTGATTTTTTTTGTGAGGTGATCTTTTACTCTCTTCCATGCTTTTAGATAATCAACTGGAAAGCAAAGGTTTTTTGCTCTCTTAGCTCTTATGCTGGTGTCTGTGACAATGGCTAAAAACTGACTGAAAGGAATAGGGTAAACACTTGAAAGTGTAGTGGCACCAACTGAGGGCAGAATTCTTTCCTGTAAGACTGAAGTAAATCTCTTTTGACATTTATGAACCAATTGTCAAATGTTGTGGTTGTTCAGGGCTTTTAGCATGTATTTGAACATCATTACTAGGCTATTTTTATTGTCTCTACTCTGATAGTGCTTTGAATAGTCAAGTGAAATCTGTGCCCCTCATGCAAGAGGACAAGCAGATGAAAAGTTGCAGGCCAAGTCCAGAGTTTCAAATGGGAAGATGTGACATAGGGGCAAGAGGGGGCAAGGAGGGTGGGGTGAGGAAGTAGTATATGTGTTAATGTGTGGGAAACAGAGACTAGAAAACTGAAATAACTTGCTCAAAGTCTTACAAGAACGTAGTGGCAGATTGAACCCAGGTCTTTCGAGACCTAAGGCTAAGTCTTCATTACAAGATTATCATGACTCAAAAATAGGGGAAAAACACATAAACCCAAACCCACACACATGGGTGTCTTTTACGTTCAGGCATGGAATTCCCATTAATGTCAGTGGGAGTTCCATCTGCTGAACATAATGCCAATATGCTTTCAAGTATGTATACAATAATTATTTGTGATTATGTGGTACACCAAAGAGCTTAATTTGACTGTACTTAGAGAATATGTTACAGCCAAATTCTACCTCTCCCTGCTACAAAAGCAGACTGCAGCTTAACTGAAACCAAATCTGTGCAGGGATTGAAAATCATACTACTCTGAGGTCTGGAGGTTGCTACATTCGGGTTTGAACCTGTGCCAAAAAAATTTCTTTTAGCCAAGGGACCAAATTTTCAGCTCTTTACATGTGACCAAAGATAGAAACAAATAGTATGCACCATTGCAGATCTTCCCATTTATGTTACACATTTCTTTTGTAAACTCTTCCAGGGCCATTTGTATAATCCATGTTGTTGGTTGTGTTCTGTTGAATCCAGGTGCTATTTACGAGGCTTTTTTTTTTTCAAAAATGACCAACAATAGCACCTCATAGATAGTTTTGGCCACAGAAAAGTAATTTTTGTCCCTTCACATGACATAGAATTTCTTGTTCTGTTGGCACACTGGTAGACATAGTCTCATACTGTCCTTTGCTAAGCTACTCTGCTCCTGTTCCAGCAAATGACTGAACGATGGTGAATGTTAAACCTTCTAATAGTTTCAATTAAAATTAATAAGAGACATGCTTTGAGTTAAATGTATGTGAAGTACATTGCTGGACCAGGGACAGAACAGGCAGTCTGAGGAAGAGGGCTGATCTGTACCACTGCCCTTTAGCGAGCTGATGAAAGTGCTTTCAGAACCAGTCAGCTTTTTTTGACAAAGGTCCAGTGTTCTGGTGAGAAAAGCTTACTATGGACCTTTTCTCCTTCTTGGAAAATTTTACTTTAATGTCTCCTGGATTTACAGCTGGATTTAACAAAGAGGTGAAATTTCTTAAGTCAGTTTTCTACCTGTAGCACTTGAGGTGCTTTACAAAAAGAAATCGGTCTTATTATTCTTGTTTTTATCATGTTGGAAAAGTGGGACACTGGAAGAGCGGTGGCTTACCCACCCACATCCATTTCATTTGATTCAAAGTCATTGTGTTCAAAACATTGGGTTTCATGTCCGGAAAGCTTAAAAGGAATCCACAGTGTTAAATTATGTTTGTAAGAGACACGTAGGTGGGTGCAATTTTACAGGTGGACTGAATGTTTTTTTCATTAAAATGTTTAAAAATTGTAAACAAGATACTTATTTAGTTGATAAAATTTCCCTTTGGGTTTTACACAATGACAGATCACCACAAGAGCATTCAAATTCCATCTTAGTGAAATTTCTTCTGGATCTTAACAACATTTTCTGAACTTAATGTTGCTTTGATTTCCTCCTAGAGTCTGTATGACTTATTCTGTAGTCCTTATAATTAGAAATTCACATCTAGTCATGCTTCTTGAAGAGATACACCCATTATGAAAGCATAATTATTGGGATGGCAAATTATAAATTAGCATTACTGTATGTTATTAAACTACTGCTTTTTCTGTCATAGAAGACGACCGTTTTTCAGTCCGTTTGGTTTAGTGGGAGATAACTTTTCCTGTTCTAATATGTATATTACAAAACTTGGCTAATAATGTTTCCTTTCATTCCTTAAGCCATAAGAGGACAATTCATTATGTACAGCAGGCCTTTTTAGAACTGACAGCTGCACTGTAATTATCTTCACACGAATATTTGTAATCAGACTTGAAACTTGGATAATTGAACTAATGTGTTTTGATCCATGAGGTTTTATGTTGAGCTCTCTGAATGTAATTATACTTCATAAACCCCAGCTTTTTTTTGGTTGTTTTTTCTTTCCAATCAGTTTTCCTTGGAAAATTGAGTTTCTTTGGTGAGCGGCTGCACAGGAATAAGCACACAAGAAAGTTGCTTGTCAGGACTAAAAAAAAGGAATTTCTTCCCTAGTAGTTTTTGACTAGATAGCAAATGAAGCTCCTTTCTCATTCCAAATAGGAATGATTCAAAAATGTATGTGATCAAACAGAGCTGATGTTGCACTAAAACATCCTGCTGTATGTAAAAATCAGACTACAAACAAAGTACAAATGAGACATTTGTATTTATCTTTTTCCAAGGGAAAGGTAATGAACTGATATAGATGTTTCTCTTCATGCATTTTTAATGCTAAAAATGTTCTTTGTATCTTACATTAAATACTCGATTTTTTCTCTTATGTTTCCTTTGTGTCTTGTTCTTTCCCTTTCTAGTTGTTTTTTTTCATATTCTCTGATGAATGAAAAGGTTTGAGGTTATATCTGCATTCTGAACTCAGCACCAAATTGTTGACTTGAGAAAGGATATTGGGTTTTTGGGGGCCACCATTTATCAGCCTGACCCTTATCTTGAAAGTTCTTGGTTTTCACTGCATTTATCAACATCATATTAACTCAGGATATAGAAAGAGCAATGGAACCAACAGACAGAGGAGTGGTGCCTGTCTGTGTCAGAGTAACCATCATTTCAGCTATCAGATTTGTGCCAGATAGAAAAATTAAAAGAAAATATGGTGTTCTCTTTTGGTTTTAATGGGAGTCAAAGACTTCTCTCCCAGACAAGTTACAAGGAGTCAAACTGAATGTTTTCTTTCAGTGTTTCTAAACTCATGGGGAGTTTTGGGGTGTTTTGTGTTTTTGAGGGGAGGCTGGTGGTTTGGGGTTTTTTTAGGGCTTTTTTCTGGTGCAAATATCTCATTCTGTTAAATTAATTCTACTGTAAAAGCCTATTAGTTTCTTTCACAGAATCTCTAGTTTGCTAGCTAGTCCTATGATGATAAGCTTTGTTAATATGGGAAAAATAAGGTTGTCACTGTACCACTAACATTCCTTAGAAATGCAAATTAATACCTAGAATAGGGACTTTCTCAGTCACATAACTTCTGTAAGGAATAAGGAATACTTCAATGCTCTTGTTCTTTTTTCAGACCCATTGGTTCCTCTGAATGTTCTAAATTACTGCTAATCTCCTACTAGAGATCTGTAAAGTATTCTGTGGATATATGTGTGAATGTAGCACACATGTTTGGCCTTAACTGTTCATTTTTTAAAATTTCTAATGAAAATATTTCTGGCAAGCTATTAAAATTGCTCTTTTTAATATACTTTGTTGTACTATCTCCTTGATAAAATAGGATGGGAAAAACATGCAGATTACACTGCTTAAATACTTCACCCTGGAAAAATCAACTCTGGTGTTCAATAAGCAAAACACAAATAAATCTGGGTATGGCATGTGCTGGCTGTTTGCTACCCAGCAAGCATTTGTTTTCTCCTTTGTGGATAAATATAATAGTTTCAGTTTTCTTACTTGATTAAACTAGCTATCCCAGCAGAAGTTCTGCATCCTAGAAGCCCTTCAGAAGTTAGTCATGCAGCATATTTCCCCTCTAAATATAATCCATTTGCTATGAAGGAGAGAAATCTTTGTTCATTTGTTCATTCTTGTTTCTCTTTACCCATGTAATATAGTATTTTTAAAATCCACAATGATTTGTAAGTAAAAATAGTTTAAAGTACATTTCACTAAAAAAAGCAATTTTTTTTTAAATGGACAACACTGAAAAATCTCTTCTTGTTTATTTTTCATGTAAAAAGTGAGCAAGTTTGAGAAATGTGGGATGAACTTTTTTGTGTGGGAAGTGCCAAGCAGTATTAAGCAAAGCAGTTGCAAAATCACATGACTAGTAAAACTCATAACCCACTTTACAGAAAAGTTAAATTCTTTGGTAGGTGGGCTCTGAGACATGCTGATGGGTGTTTCAGAAGAGAGGAAAATTTAACTAGCTTTTATTCTTGATCTTTGCCAAATTTCTTGTGGACAGTGAAATGCACAAACTCGTGTGTAGAAGGTAAACTCAATGGATTTGAGCAGTTTTTAAGGAATTTAATTACAGATAATGTTCAGTGTGGGACAACTTTCAAGGGAAACATTAATTGCCTCAGTCTCCTGGCAGGCTACTGGAAAATGAAAATACTTTGGGGGGTAAATATACATGTAACTGTAAAATACAGAGTTTGCAACATATACTTTAATGGTTTATTGCTACTAATTTGACAAGAAACCATGACCATATTAGCTGCCAAAACAGAGCTGTGAGAAGGTAGTTTTAGTCACAGTTCAAATCTCATTGATGAAGACCATTCCCAATAGATCAGTGACTCAGAAACTCGTATTTTACAACTGAGAAGCAATAATGGGGAAGCAACAGGAGTTTCAAGCTGCCCTGTAGCTGGTACCTGCTCAGCCAGGACCTTGGCAGATGACAGCCTTGTTTGACCAAATCAGAACTGTCAGTTTGCTGAAATTCCCAACCCCAAATCAGGACCACAAGTAAATGAATCCTATAATAAATATGTTGTTGTCAGTATTTAAAAGATCAGCATAAGCATTAAGTGGTTTCTTATGGATATCCCTAATCTCGATCTTGGTACATATCCAATCTGACCACCACGTTCCTCCAGTGCCAGAATGCAGAGCAGTTCAGATCCTTGTGGAGGAAGCTGTTATTAAACATGTAACAAAATGCAAAGGCAGCAGTGTGTAAGTCCACAAGGTGTCCTGATTCCTCTGTGCAGTCTCTTCAACAACCTGGGCATTAATTTACATTCATTTGGGCCTGTTTGGCTGAGAGATGTAAATTGTCCTGATGTTATATTTGTGTGCACATATTTCTGACTTGCCAACTATGTGTCATGCAAATGCTGCATCTGGCCTTCCATGACAGCCTTTGGGGGTACTTTTTAAACTGCTGAGTCAAGCAGCTTGTTGGAAAGACCCTCACAGAGCACAAGGGTTAGATTTAAGCCAGTTAGCAAGTTAGACCTCAACTCTGGGGAAAAAAAATCATGTAAAAGGACAGTGGGAGATTTTTTGTCTTTACCTATTGAAGTTAAAATAGACTAGATGTACATCTGCTTTAAAAATATCTGTTGTAGCTGAAAAAGGCAGGAGGACAGATTATTGTGAATGAAAGAGTTGATAAACTCTTGATAGCAGCCCTGCATGGAAAGATGACATGTTGGCTAACCAACATTTGCTAAGGAATGTATGAAAAAAGCTCCATTCACCCAAGTGCTGACTGCATGAAGCCCTGTTAAGAATAAATATGGTGCTTAAGTATTCTGCTGAAGGAGAAGGTTTGGCTTATCAAAGTGTAGGATTATAGCACAATGCTCCTAGAACAGCAGATATGATTTGTTTGTCTGTTAATGTGTTTGCTTGGGGTTTTCCTCATAGACGAAACAAAAATCCAGCCCTCCAAGCTGGCTGTCAGATACGGCTGTGTGTATTTAGAGGTCTGGCTACGTTTCAAATTAGGGTGGAAGTGGGAGAAGTGAGATGTGTTAAAGAGCTGTGAGGTGTCCACCAGATTTTCATGGAGCTGTCTTTCCCTCTTTCAAGCTTTAGATGGTGGTTCTCAAGAGTATGGAAAGCAGCTACTGACATGGTAGTAACAGCCCATATAGAGAGATTCTGACAGTCATGGTAGAAAAAAATATCAGTGGAGAAATAAGTGGGAGACTGTAAATTCTGCTCTCTTTTTATGAATATATTGTCTTGAACTCTCAAGTCTGGAGAAACCCCCCTGAGGGCAGAAAGTTAGAGAGGGTACATGTTAAGACAAAATCTGGACCCTCTAGGATTTAGTTACTCTTTCTGCCCACTGAGCTGAAAAATCATCTACTGTAAAAGCATTTGTCCTGATCAGAAGGTCAGTATTTCCCTAAATTCTGTGTGAGTAGAAATTAATATTTCTGTGTCACCCTGTAAATCTGGTTACATAAAGAGGGCTGTGTGGTATATTGACTACTAAAATGTTGGGACCCATTAGAACATACCAAACTTTGAGCTGCCATTGTTAACAGGTGTGACCCCTGGGTAAAGGAAAAGTTGTAGAGGTTTTTATAGACCTGACTCTTAATCCTCAGAACCAGCTATACTTAACAAAATATTATTTAGATATTTCTTTTGTGCTCACAGGCATCTGGAAAGAGCCCAGGTCCTAGGATAGATCAAGGAAAAGGAAGACCAGCATGGAGAAATTCTTAGATATGTATTGAATGGGCTCTTTATAACATACAATGATCAGAATGCTCTGTTCTTAGATTGGTGCCCGAGATCAATTTGGGTAAAATCGCTTTGAGGAAAAGCAGTGAGCCAAGAGATCTCCTTTTCATTTTGGCAATTTAAGGTAATACCCTATTTGAGCCTGGCTAGATTAGATCAACCTGAGAGACCTTTGAGCATCACCAGCTACTAAACAGTGTTTTTCCTGTTTGAAACAATTGACTTATTAAAATTGGCTGGTGTTTTTTTTTATATAGCCAGACACATAAGTGTTTGTTCACATCCCATTGCCTTCAAAGATATCTGTGAAGAATGTTCTGTAACGGCCCAACTGGATAATATTTGCAGCTCAAAAATATAGGTTTATAACTGGTTTGGATTTTGCAAAATAAGCTAGACCCCAAAACACATATGGTAGGGTGATATTCAGACATCATTTATTTCCAAACACAAGGTTTAGAGTTTTGCAACTTCTCTTAGTGGTTTTCTTCTAGATAACGAACCATTTAACTATCCCAAGGGGAAAAAAAAGAAGTAGGAAGGCTGCAATGTCCAAGATTTCCTTCAATTTCTCTATTTGTTTTGGCCATGTGCATTAAATTTTTAGTGGAGTGTGAATGGTTAGTCCTGGCTTCTATTAAAATCAAAGAAAAGGCAGAAAACCATTTTGCTGATTCACAGGTTGGGAAACCTGAATATCTTTTGTTGCTGTTATTGTTTTGATCTGGTTTGCCCCAGTTCATAAATCTATTTGATACAGATCGTAAGGTTCTGTGCAGGTTGAACTCTTTTAAATTCAGTGACTTCTGCGGATATTTCAGCATTTATTATTCCCAAGTCCAAAATAGATGTAAGCATCAGAGCTGTGGGTTTCATGCCATTTTCACAGTACTGTGTGTTTTTGTGTTTCAATCCAACTATAGGATATTACCAGCTTGCTTCACACCATCTATGAGGTAGTTGATGCATCAGTAAACCATTCTCCCAGTTCCAGCAAAACTCTGCGAGTGAAACTTACTGTGGCACCAGATGGCAGCCAGAAGAAAAAGAGTATTTTGTTAAATCATACTGGTAAGGATGTGCAATCAGCCTTTGGAAATCAACCTTTATGATCTTGGGTGTAAAATTGCCTCATTCCTTTGAGTGTCAGTTTAGCAAATTAGGGTTCCCTCTCCTGATTGATTGCTTCTTGTAACCCCTATGTTGTGTAATTGTCTTTGTGTACTGCAAGGCAGATTTAAGGCCTTTTTCACTGGTATCACTCTAATTCTGCTGATATTACAGTGCTTGGTTTGTATGGAAGCAGGTGTAGCAGTATAAAATGTTTTATGCTATCACTGCTCTTGGGTAAAAATAAAAAATTAAGCATAAGTAACATATATGAATCTATGCATAAAAATTGCACATTTTTTGTGCTGGCATTATAAAAATGCTTATACCCTGATGGCTTATCCAACTTATATTCACTGTAATAATAGTTGTATCAGCATAATTACTTCAGTAGGTAAAGTAGTACTAAGTTGAAATACTTCAAAGTATTTAAAGTAATATTTCAGTAGAAAATGTGGGCATCTCATCTAAAAGGAGAGCCTTGTTACCTCAGTTTTAATAATACATCCACTCCATCAAGTGCAGACATAAGCAGATCTGCACTGCTGGGGAACTATGTGATGAGTTAGTACAGCATTGAGTTGCAAACTGCTGAGCCCTCCTGAGGGACAAGCATTTCAGTGTGAATGTGGCTCCATTTGGGCTGCCACATGGTGTGCAGCCTAACCCTGACTTATGTCCTGCAGTCAAGGTTATATCTGCTTAAAATCTGTCGAGCGGACAAGAGCACATTTGATAAGGTTACATGACATGATATGTTACGTCTTGATCTACCGACAGGAAAAGATGTGTTTGCAGTGTAGCACGTTAGTTATGCTGATCAGCAGGAACAGTAATGTGAGAATAATATACTTTCCCTTGTCAGATTTGCAGAGTGCCAGGCATAGAGCTGAAAACAAAGCTAATGAAGAAGCAAGAAGCTCTGAGAAGAAGCAGCGGGCTTCTCTCAGGTAAGGGGACAGAACCCTGACTCCTGACAGGCACTGGGCACGTCCGAGGAAACCTCAACCACTGCTTTCTTGCTTGTTCATTTTATTTTTTAAAATTATGTTAAAATAGAGGAATATCAGGAGTTTTCACTGTGGAACCATGAGCAGATTTCATGGGTGGATACTTCGTATATTAAAACAAAACAAACAAAAAAGCAAAAAATATTGAAAATTGAAATTTTCTTCCTCTGTGAGCTCTTTGGAGGACGTGTATTGCCTTTTTAGATGCCATCTGCAAATAAGTGAGGTTTATAGCACAGCACAGGTCTATCTTGGTTGCCAGGTCATAACCAGAACAGAGAGCTAACAAGTCATCTTGCTGTATAGCTTTGATACGTTTTAAGATTTTATGTTTCACACTAAGGCAGAGGGAAGTATTTGCTGAAATGGTACAGAAATGACATTGACTCATTTGTTACATTTGTTTCTTCAGCTGCAAATTAATAAAAAACAAACAAACAAAAATAAACCAAAACCCAAACTCCACACATTTTTGGCTTTCCTTGGTTTTAGGGATATTTGTCCGAATATGTAACAAACTTATCAGGAGAAGGAGTATTCAGTCTTATTAAAAATGACAAGAGAACAGTACCTCCCTTTTTTGCATAGAGAAAAAATGCTAGTAAGTTATTCCAATGAGCAAATCCCAGTACAATCAAATTTGAGATTAAAAGAAGAGTTAACTGGTGACAGAAGATTAATAGTAATTTCTGTACAAAATCTTCTATGCAACTGAATGGTTTTACTTGCTGGCCCAGCTGTGGTGTTCAGATTCCCTCTGCCCATTAGCAAAGCTTTGCCCTGTGTGAATTCAATAGACTGTTTTTGTTTGATAATTTATTGCAAAAATCCCCTTTCAGTTTGAAGTCCCCTTCTCATTCACCTGAAAGTCCTGGTTCTGCAAATATAGTGTTTCTATGAATGGCAGGCACTTCCAATTAAATCCACAGTCATAAAAGCATCAAATGCTGGAACAAAATGTTTGTCCTTCTCATCCCTTTTCTTGGAGGCTTCATAGACAGAACAAATCTGTATCTTGGTCTGAGCAGATCAGCATCAGACAGTTTTTATTGCATCCCAATAAATGTGGACAGAGCAAAGAGTGTGCTGTTCACATGTGCATGTTGCAGGGATGTGTGTGCAGCCTGACCAAGTTGATAACCCTCAGGAAAGCTGCTGAGGCTCACATCAGAATCTCACAATATTAATGCAGAGGCTTCCCCTTTGAAAGCAGCAATGAGGACTTGTGAGAAGTGCACACATTTCACAAATTCAGTCACTTAGGAATTCTAGGCGAGGTGTGATTAATATTCAAGATAAAATGGATAGAAATGTTTTTATCCTGAAGGTTGGGAGATAGATGGGTTAGATTTTTCATCTGCTGGAAGCTACAGGCAGGAGTTTTCACCTGTAGGGCTAATACAAGTATCAAGATAAGTAGCTAGATTCATGGCTAGATAGCCTAGTTCTCCCTGACTGACTTAAACTCTACATTCTGGGTAAGTGAGGCTTTCAGGAAATGTCCCTGCATTTTTCTGCCCTGTGCTCTGTCACTGCTCTATTCCCCTTTCCTGATATATTGTTGTGTGCTTATTACCATCAGGATGACACTCCAGCGTGGGAATTTTAGAAAGGGCTTTTGTACACTCCACAAACACTTCAACAGATGCCATTTTTTATTAAAACCAAAACTGAACCAAACCAAAAAAACCAGTAACAACACTGTGTATTTTTACACAGTTCTTGATGCATGGTTGATGCATGCCTGAGTCTTCCCATGTGTATGCAAGAGAGCACTGTGGGGCTGGACGCCAGACACTTCAGTTCTCAGAAGTACTTGAAGTTGTCTTTGACACTGCAGCACATCTCTCATCAGTGTGTAATTGCTTCACTGTGTATATTTGCATGGATATTGTCGAACGTCATCTTGCATGTAAGAAAGCTATTAAAACGTAGGGTTGTGGCAGTCCTGGCATAGTTCTTCTTCGCTGTCTTGATGAGAGATTGAATTTATTACAGTAACAAAAAACCAGGTTCCCTGTTAACTTTGTTTCCAACAGACAGTGCTGTATACAGTGTTGCTTAATTGTGTTGGATCAATCCCAATGATGTTTTTTCTGGGTGAACTGTGCATTGTCTTCAGCACATGTGTGCAAGTCCCAATGGTTTCTGTAGGTGAAGCTGCCTGGCAACTTCAACTAGACAGGTTCTAGCCCCAGAGACCTTTTATGTTGACCTGCTAAAGCGTAACAACCTGTAAAGGTGTGTCTGAGGCAGGAAAGGTACTGTGTTGGCTATGTATCCAAAAAATAAAGAATATCTGGACATTCCCTCTTTTTTTTGACAGTACCCCATGTCACTTCTGGAGTTCAAAGCTGACTCAGAGTCTTTAAAGCTTACCTGCTTTCCAGGCAGACTCTCCTCCATTCAGGAGACTCTATCAAAGTAGAGCAAAAATGATCTTCCAGGTAGGTCAAGTCTTGCGACTTTTATCAGAGAAGCTGTAGACCTGTGTCTGACAGAGACACGAGGGGACTCAGTTCTGTAAAGTCCCTGAACAGTACTATGCTAGACCAGGAAAGCTGTCTGTGCCAAAGCTCTATGGGATCAGCAGCCTCTGGAAACTTGGAAATGTGTTAATAAACTCGAAGCAGAGTACTGGGCACCATACAGTAAAGAGCCCATATTTAGCAACTGGTGTAGGATAGAAGGCCAAATTCTGGTCTTAGGTTGACATCAGTGCAGAAAAAGAGCAAAGCCAATCTTGTGGTCTTGGAGACCGAATTGTCTGAATGACAGGCAGTAACTTAATCAAGAGTTTTCTGCTTATCCTGTTCGTTATATTGAAAATATTGTTCATATTTGCAGACATCCGTTTAAATTACTGAATTAAGTTGTTTGGCATTATGGGCTACAATACTGTAAACCTCTGCCTCATTTTTTTCTGCCTCATGAATGAATGGTATTTCAGATATTCATTCTCAGGAAATAGTTCTGCTATAAATAAAATTGCAAAGCTGAGCAGGAAAAGAGTTGAGATTCTAAAGCCAGTGTCTGATCTGACCTTATTAATCATACTTTAGAAAGCAGTGTTTACCTTTGGATGTCCTAGCAACACCTTCTCTTCTCAGACTCTCTCTAGTTCCTACACCTGTGCTGTTGCCTGTCTTTCTGAAGCAGATACACACGAACATTTATCTGACATGAGTCTTACCCCAGTGCTTCCTGACAGCGGTGGGAACGGTCATGAATCAAACAGCAGATTTTCTTTGGCATGTCCACGTTGGAGAATCAGTTGAATGGTTTGGCCCCAAGACAAAGTGTAATAAACCCTAGGAGCATTTTTATTTGTTTTTGCACACATGATGCAATTTGAAAGCCTCCTTTGCTTTGCAACATCGGGGTTGATTTATGTGAGGGGAAGGAACAGCCAGTTCAGGCCTATCGATTTAGCAAATCCGGTCATCCAGAATTTCAAGCTTTTGTTGTTTCTTTGTGAGCAACTCCTGTCACTTCAAAGGGGCCATTAGTTGTTGGTTTGCAGATGGTAATAACAACTTTAAAGAAGTTCTGCTGAATAGTAATTTTGCTTCCTGCTGACAGATACCACCAGAGTGAGAACAATCCAGAGCAAAGTGGGTGCTATCGTCACTGTGTTGATGAGAACATTGAAAGGAGAAACCACTATTTGGATCTTGCAGGAATAGAAAACTACACATCAAAGTTTGGGCCAGGTAATTGATGTTACAGCTTCATCATCTTTTCTTTCTTAAGTTGCGTGTTCCATATCAGGGACAGAGAATTGTGAACCTGTGTGATTTGTCTGTAGTGACTTACTGGGAGGAATAGTGAATACTGCAAGATAACTATTGGTGAAGGTGGTATCACAATGGATGGCTAATGTGCTGCAAGGCTGCTTTGATGTACTTGTTTGTGTAGGTAAACTTGGAGGTGAGCCTAGAAGAACAATCTTTACATCTAAATTATTTAGTCTATGGGTGAGGCAAGGATTGACTTTTGGATGTTGGAGCTTGTTCCCAAGATGATACCAGCACATATTTTGTACTCACTACTGACCCAAAAATAGAAGAATGTGGCTTCATACCTGGAATTTTGGCTTCTGTCCCCAAATTAAAGAGATTTGGATTTCCTTTCTTTCCCTACACTCTGCCAGGATTTTACTATTCCATTCACAGTTACTTTGGTGACCAAGAGAAGGCAATGTAAAGACGTTTATACACACACACAAACACACATTCATTCTTCTATTGATAGGTATATATATTTGTGTGTGTATTATTTACTGGTCAGATAATTGAATATAATTAATCTAGACAGCTATAATTGCATTCACTTCCTTAGGAAAAAATTGTTCTGCCGATAATGCTGTCCCTGCCAACTGCATGCTACTAATTAAAACTTTGAAATGCTAGATGACTAACTCAGCTTGTTATTTCCTAGGATCTCCTCCAGCAGCTCAAAAACATGACCCACCAGGCAGAATTGTGAATCAAACTAGATCCCGTTCTCATGAGCCTGAAACCTTCCATGCTCATCATAGGAAATCTCAAGTGGTGGATCCAAACCACATCAATCTGGCTGAAAGTTCGTATGCCAAGATTGCAGAAATCCAGCAGAGGCTCCGGAACCAGGACTCAAACAAGCACTTTGTGAGGTCTCCCAAAACCCAGGGCAAAAATGTCGCCCCTGTGCATCCTGGAAGGGCAGTTAGAAATAAACCTTTTCAAGGGGTGCCCATGCCCATGGCTTCCCCAAGTGCACGGGTGGGCCAGAATCTACCTTACCTTCCCTTGCAATCTCAACAGATTCACAAGAAGCATAAGCAGAGGGCAAAGGAGAATCACCAAATGTGCAAAACCTTCCAGTCTCCGGGGACAGTTGTGGAAAAGGAACATGTGAGAGACCTGCCCACAGTCATTTTATATGAAGGCCAAGTTGGACAAATGATACAAAGACATGAACACCACCACCACCACGAGCACCACCACCACTACCACCACTTCTACCAGACATAGAAGAGATCCCACCAACATCCTCCAAGAATCATCCCATATGAAGGAAATGCATTCTTGTGATACCAGAACTAAGGCATTACTATGATTAATATTATTATTACTCCATTAATATTCAGCTTGCATATATTTTAGAGGTTATATGGAACTCTTGAAACTTACCCTATTTATATGTTGTGGAACCGCATAGCTTACTTAAACACCTTGTGGATTTTTTTGTTTGTTTTTGTTTGTAAGTGGCTTGTAAAACAGCAAACAGCCATAGCTTTTTGAGCTGTGATTTAATACAGGTCGTCAACGCACTTCTTTACAAGTACTACTTCCATTGTAATAGGAAAGATACTTCAAACACTCTTGCAGACATCTAGCTTACCACTCTGCTGTATGTCGGCTGATCGCACACAAGCCTTTTATCAGGGGAGCAATGTTCGAAGAGTTGGACTCCAGAGATACTCAGATAATGGAAAATACAAACAGCTGCTACCTCTAGTATTATTCAGATTTTATTTTCTTTTTATTGATTGTAATGTGCTACAGGGGGGAAATTTAATATACTGCGTTCATGTAGCCTGTTTGTGTTCACATCCTTTCAAATTATCTTAATTACGAGGAAATATTAGCTAAACTTGTCAACAGGGCTACGTTTGTATGACTCACACTTTATTTTCTTGGAGATTCTTCATTGACACAAGTACAGTCTGTTATATACTGGGTAATATTTAAATATACTTCTTTTATTTTTTTTTTCTCTTGCTTATTCTCCACTCTGTTTGGGGTAACCATATGAAAAGAGGAGGATGTGAAATGGGGTTTTCCAAAGCATCACTAGACTTTAGTGCTTGGGCCATAAGTATCATTCATAGGGGTTTGAGAAGGAGAGGGGTTGACTGGGGGGTTGTTTTGTTTAAATCCACAGTTCTTTGTTTTGAGAAAGAATTGAGGAAAATATACTTTCTCACTTTAAATGTTGGCAAATATATATAAAATATAAATATAAATATATATATATAAATATGCACACTCTCAGGTACATTTTGTTGTGTTTTAGAAATCTGTGGTTTGAATATTAACTTTTTTTTTCCCCACAACAGTGACTTTTTGGAAACATATCCCATGGCATATTCTTGGTGCCTCCAATTTAAATTTCCCAAGCACCTACCAGTTTGTGCTTCTCCCACTTTAGAGACGATTCAACATGTACGAAAAGTGTAATTCACAATCATTCTGGCCTCTTCTGCTTTTTTCCGTATCAAAGGGCTTCCATTCCATGAAGGAGAATGAGACCACACTCACAAGACCTTAATGGCTGCTGAGAAATTTGAAGGTCAAAAGCAAATTGGAAAAGTGAAAAAAAAAAAAAGGTGCAGTACGTTCAAGTTTTGCTTTCTTTGGAGCCCAGATTTATAATAGATTCAGTTGGGTTTTGTACAGATCACCATTTTGCAGATAGAAACTGACTGAAAACACCTACATTTCTTTTGGAACATTCAAGTAGAGAACTCTTACATGGAAACATAATTGTTCTATAAACGTATTTTCTTTCGGTTTTAATTATTTTTAATGTTGTGGTATTTTGTCAATAGTATATATTGTAAAATGTAACTATCCAACATTGATATAAGCCCTTTATGATTAGGGTATTTTTTTTCCTGACTAGAGTTTTGATCAGTCCAAAATGGGGTATTACCTTATTGCTGACCAGTTTTAGAGGGATGCTGTCCTTTCTAAGAACATGGAGACATCACCTTTTAAAGAACAGTGGAAAGCCTTGCCTTTTCATGAAATTTGAATAGAATCACTGCTTCCTAGTAATTAGGTCCATCTCTCGTCTCCCTGGATCAGCAGATTTTTAGACTTATTGTCCTCTTTAAAAAATCTGGTTTATTTTATTTTTTTTTTAGCTGTCAACAGCATGTTCTGTTAAATTTAACAAAATGTTTTTAAAATGTGTTTGATCTGTGTGACAACTATACTGTTCTGTTTATTTTAAAATTCCTTAAGTCCAAAAATATTTATATGCAGAATTTTCTGTGTTGAAAATATGAAAAGGCCACAAATTTGGTTAGTTACCACTGAGTTGTTCTAGTCTAAGCCTTTTTTGCTGCTTGTGTATCATTCTTTTTCAATGTATATATAATTATGGACTGCAAAAAAAAAAAAAGGCATTTATATGTCTAGTAGAAGGAATAAGCTTATTTATATTATAGTGTTAACAAAGTCTGATGTATTCAAGTGACTTACATTATACCGCATGCAAACACACAGTGTACATTCCATCCAAGAAGGGATGCCATGCTATTTGTTTTGAAGGAGTAATTAAAGCTGTTCTCTTTTCAGTAAAGCATATGTCAGAAAGACTAAGAGGTGGAAATTGTAGTCAATTTTTTTAATGCAGATTATTGCTGAAAACCAGAAAACATTCTGGAAAACTCGAGTGCTTTCAGAACTGTGAGGTTTTCTAAGAAAGGGAAGCAAAGGAGTATAAATACTCTTTCACCCAAAGATATTTTTGCTGGAAAAGATAACAGCACCAATAACAAAATCCCATCTGATTGAGAAGTGTGCAGTACTTGCTGTGCCAAGCAAACTCTGAAATAGAACACAACTGACTATTGCATTGATTTGTTTAGGTTTATTATATTTAGAGATTCGAAAGACAAATTCTGCCTTGCTCACATTCTGTGAAATACAAATACATTTTAATAACGTGGCATCCCCATACTAAAACTTTACACCAGCCATGTATGAATATACAGTATCTAAATACTGTGTTGCAGTTGTGTTATGTGCATTAAGTGTGAATAACATGTAGCACAGATTCTTTTCACAGAACCTTAAATTTCCGTATCTTTTAAATATGTTTGCTTTTCAGTATTTTGTATAGTAAATATAGATGGTTTTGACTAAATGCTTTATTTATTTAACAGCAAAAACTGTGCCAAGAGAACCCCCTGTTAATTAAAGTTTTACTAGTTCAGAAAGTATATTTCCTTCTTCTTGTTGTGGATTTCAGGGGCTTATTGCAATTGCTCTCAGTGCTTGCAGATCCCACTGATGAAAGAGCTTGCATTAATGTTTTTGGGAACAGGATCAGGAAATTACGTATGGACTGGGTATGCTTTGGTTTTATATTTAAGCTATCAAGTTTCAAAGTTAAATTTCTTGTCCCCTGCTGTTAGACCTGTGTCGAATAACTGATTTTTCATCTTGTTATTAATTCTGAACACCTTTTTTAAAAAAAAAATATTATTTTAAGTTGTTCAAAACTATAGCTGAATTAAGATTTAAAATAAATTCGTTTCTGGTTAAAAAAACATTTTATTCCCAAGGGAAAAAATATCAGAGTTGAGTATATTGTTACTATTTAAAAGTGAAATGGAGTGACACCAAGTCATTTCAGATGGAAACTCCAGCCTTTCCACTGACTTCTTTGGTTTTTACACAAGGCAGTTCAGCAAAACAAAACCGATCCCAAAATTTGCACTATTTGCTGAAAAAATTCAATAGAAAAATTTTGCTCACCTCTACCAGCTGCAATTCTGGGAAAGACAGTTTTTTGAAAAGAAGGATTGATAAGCTCTTCTCGCAACTTCATGACCACCTAATAGGAAGTAACCTAAGCTAAGGCTGTGTAGTAAAATCTCTGTCCCAGTGAAATCTCTGGCAAGACTGCCAGATTCCCACTGGCTGCAGGGAGCCTATAATTTCATTCCAGGAAGGCGGGTTTGAAGTCTACATAATGTGCAGCCAGTAATTTCAGTATTTATTTTTTATGCATCTTACTGCTGATGGGTTTGTAGTAGCTAATATTAAATGGAAGTTTTACTGTAAGACATCAAGCTGGTAAATTAACTAAGATTAGCAGCAAATACTGTGCTTTATACTGATATCACTGGAGGACTTCAAGACACTTCCAAATGTGTTTGAAACATCCACATGTCATTTAATCATTGCTAGAAATGAAGACCCAGTTCTGCCCTTGGATGATGAGGTACAGATGCTCTTGGCATATTGGCAGACCAGCCCCTTAGGGCCATATCAAATTAAAAAGCCAAGTATATGACCTCTGTAATCATGAGGACAGAATAGCAAGGTTTAGCTGGAGAAGTACCTGAAAGATATGTGTGTGTGTGTATATATATATATGTGTGTGGGTGTGTGTGCGTGTGTCCTCTGGCAGAAGTTAGTGAGTGGAACAAGATGGATTTTGACAGAGGTGTTTTTTTTAAAAAGGGATCAGTACTGTGTATGCTTGACTGTCTACAAGTTGCCACATAAATATACAGATACGATGAATGCATACTGTTCTCCATATGTCATTGTGTACCTCAATTATTGAATGACAGATTTCATTTGTATTCCAATTAACAGGAAAGTTGGGCCCCTTGGGGCCTAGATTATACTTGAGAAAAATTCATCATGCTAGAAAATTTGCAAAAACACTCACCATAATTTTTGCCTGGAGTACAGGCAAGAATGTTCATGTTTGGAAACATGTCAGCTAATCACGTCTCACCTTTAATTACCTTGATGCAATTCATCAAGATCTGAAAATATGTTTTCAAACATGACTTATTCATGGCTTTGCTGGGAACCAAGTCTTATTCAGCATCCTGTTAGTTCTCAGACTTCTTTTTTTTAAAATGTACCAAGCAGAAACATGTTTGGAAATCCATAAAATAAAAATTAAACTTAATGTGTTTTCTAAATAGCTTCTGGAAGAAGATTTCTTTCCTAATGCACTTAGCAGCAAAACCAGCCTCAAATTATGACATAATAATTTATTTTCTTTGCATATTTGACAGATGTTGAGTTGATTTGATTTTGAAGGGGCTGTTTTGGCATTTTTTTGTGTTGTGTGCACATTTAAAATTTGCTCAAAATGGTCTAAAAGTAACAGACATAGAAAAGCAAATAACTTTATATTGAAATTATTCAATAGACATTGAACTGCATCTTACTTGAAGCTTGGATTATAATTACTAAATAATGAGGTTTTCAATGATGTTTTAATTTACTTTTATATTTCTATGTAATTCTAGACAATTCAATTCTAAATGCCATAAAATTACAGGAATCATATGGATGAGGTCTTCTAATTTCTTTTTTTTTTTTAAATAGCAGGACTTAAGGACTATTCAGGCAGATTACTGTGAGGGTAAGAGCTGTGAAGAAAGATTGGAAAGAGATGGACAGAAAGATTTGAGAAATGTAGGGATAGCATAGAAATGTCCAACAGAGGGGCTGGGGGAGACACACAAGAGGCAGGAAAATGCTGTATGGAGGAGCTATATTCATATTACTTTTTTGAATCTCTTATGGTACATTTATTGCTTATAAAATAGCAACACTAGTTCATAAAATGCTTTTCACTGGGAAAACTTGAAAGACTTTCTATAAGAGGTTGATCTCTAGTGTGCAGGGGGAGGAACAAGGAAGGAAAGTCGCAGGTAATCACCACTGGGGCTGTGGCAGAATAAGGAATGATGCCCTGGTTTCCTGAGTCCCTGTCTGAGCTGAGGGAAAATTTTTTATAAGCAGAGGTGTTTCTACAGATGCTTTGAATATTCTTTAGAACATGTTTTTAATAGTGGCATCATTTCTTTTTCTCTTTGATTACAAACACACGTAAGTTGGTCAAATGTTACCCAAAGCTTTGCTGTCTGTCCTGATTTTTCTAAACACTAAGCACTAACTAAAATATGCCTGTGAAATCTACTGACACAACAGATAATCTTTGCATCACAAGGAATGGCAGACTGGGCCTATTGGTTGTCTCATTAGGCTTGTCTCATTTTGGGGTACGAGAGTAGGAAGTTCCAGAATTTTTTAAAAGAACGTTGAAGACATAATATTTAAGGGGTTTCATAAATTTGGCAATGGGCAAACGTTAACAATATCAGGCATGCTGGCAATGAAGTGCACTGTGCTTTCTGGTTTTTAGGACATGTCTATGAAGTGGGATTTGTGTCTTCCTTTGAGTGCCTAGTCCATAGAGACAAAGCAGATGTAATTACTACCAGCTAAGAGATGTACTCTTTTGGTATTGTATTTTGTGGATGAAGATATGGGGTTCAGATCCTTCTGGTGCTGAGTGCTTATTCTTACACTTGTTCCTTCCTGTTCTGTTCTATTCACGAAGTATAGCACGCTGAGGCTTTGTGAATTTTCTAAAGAAACACCTAACAAACTGGGCCAAATTTGTCTTCAGCTTCATAAATGGAAGCCAGGAGAGCCCCATGCATGTCTTGGAATTTGGACCTTACAAATGCAGTTTGCTATATGAGTCATCATTTTTTCTTGTACTAATTTCAGATATTTGATAAGCTCTTTTTATGGTTTACAAGTTTAAAAAGACAAATAAAACTTTGTAGATTAAAACCTTGGTTTGGAGGTTGTATTTTGTCTGTTCTCACTGACAGTCTGTGAATAGCCTTTTTCTGTGGGCTTCAGCTTAAACCTACAAAGTGACTTTGGAGTGGGTGTTTATAGTTCTTTGCTTGCTTGTTCACAGGATAAGACTGTTGATAGATGAATAAAGTGCCACTTGAGGTTGTTAACAACCATGACTGGTAACTCTAGTTCAACTAAGATAAACAGTGAAATCCTATGGCAATTAGCATTAAGGTCTCACTTGGCCAGTGCTGATTTTTAAAGCTGTAGATACAGTGCTTTATAGATATCCATGGCTGGAAGGTCTGCAGCTATTCTCATCCTTGCTCTGAGTGCTGTATGGACTCCTCTGTGGTGTGTGCACATGACATTTCTGCGTGTTCAATGTGCCATTAGGAAGCAGGAGTACAAAAATTGTAATGTTTCGGTCCAAAGCAATTAACCCTCTCACCCTGCAAGGAGTGGAAGGGAGGAAAAGCTCAATTAAAGAGACTTGGAGTTTCCAGTAAGTGCCAAAGTATGAAGTGGAGCAATATGCAGCACTGTGGGCCTCACATTCCTCCTGTCTCTTTACAGCCTTCTCAGGGAATATTTTTTACTTTTGATGTCTGTAGTCACAACTTGCTGTTTGAATGTGCCCTCTGCTAGGGCCAGAAACCCTCAGTGGATCTGTGGATGTGACTTCCATAGGTTTCAATGGCAACTTTGTAACTTTGTGCAGCTTTAGTGGATCAACAGATGTGAACAGAGGTACTTCAATTTACGCTCTCTTGGAATCAGGGTCCTGGGACGCTCCCAGCTTGCACTGATCAGGGACAGGTTTTATAAGAACTTTCCTGGTCTAATAAATGGATGCTAAAATCAATTAATTTAAAGACTACAATCTTGATGTCTTATGAGTCTGAAACATGGAGTCATTTTAGCTAATAACTATGAATTAAAGGAGCAAGTAATTGTGTTTTCGGGAGCAGGGCAAGACTGTCATACCTTCCTCTGCTATAAACATCACCACTGCAGCTCTTTTTCCTATAGTTGAATCAGGAATTCAGCATTCACAGGATATTATGTGTCTGCTGATCTCTCTAACAATAGTTAATGAAGTTTATTTTACTTGGAGCCTTTGTTCATATAGATACTTCTTCTATAGCCCACAACTGTAAAGGAAATCCTCTGAACAGGAGACCTCACCACGAGCATCCTGCGTGCCCTGTTACTCATCTCCCCAAGGATGTGCAGGATGGAGTTACTCCAAAGAAATGGTCCAAAATTTCTTCTTGCCAGCACACAAGAGGTATGTTCACTATATCTGACACCAACAGAGAAAACCTAGGAGAAAAAATGATCCTGAGACAGGTAACTGCCCTTTTTCCTCAAGAGGGGCATCAGTGTCTCACAGATCATTCCCCTTTAACCCCGGTACATTGGGTTTCTGTGGAATATCTGGGATGTGTGACAAGCAGGTGCTTGTACTTGGTAAAGCCTTAGATTCCAGAATGCTCCTCCATCCCTTTAGTCAGTTTGGAAAGATGTCACCGTGAAAATAACTTGAACAAGACAATTTTTTCGCTGTTGACTTTCTGTTGTGCCCTTTCATGGGTTTAAAATCCACTTATCTGAAAGTGAGCAGTTACGTTTTGTCCTTTTTCATCATTTAAATGCATCTTCTTGATCTGAAGAAATAAAAGCAATTTAAAAAATTAGAGATTTTGTTTTCATATGTGCTGCCAAGTCTGATACTGCAAAGTAACTGCTGAATTGGCACAAGCAGTCTGAGAGAGCCAGCAGATTTAGGAAGGGAGAAGATAAACCTTATTATGTTTCTTTGCCAAAGGAGAAAAGAAACGATATTGACTTAAATGTGGGAAATTTAAAAGGGGCCATATGTTCTCACTTTGTGCTTTGTTTCTAATAGATAGACAGAAATCTTTGAAGTGTGGATTGGCACAGTAGGGTGCATGCTTCTGTAGAGAAAAGATGCTAAATGGGGAGGATGTGAGGGGGCACATGAAACTCTATTAGCCATGCAACAGCAAAGAGAGAAAGGCAAATCCAATGATAATGTACATCTGTTTCAGGGAATTTATAAGCTTTGAACATTTTTTATGTGCAGATAAGTGGATCCTTTTCTTACCATAACTTAGAACTTCAAAGCAGATTGTGTGGATAATGCAAATTGCTGAAATAAGAGATTTTCCTACAAAGAGGTTTCCAAAAAAGAAAAAAAAAAAAAGAATTAAGGCTAATTGATGCCACAGTCTTTTATGTACAGTGTAAAAACTCTACAAAAATTGATTTTTATGAACTAAGAAATTGATGAAAAAATATTGAAGTCTGCTGTTTGCATTCAGGGACTGTAGTTTGAAACTGAGGTTCTGTGAATTAAACATTTGTCTCCGATATCACTACAGCAATATTGTAACATAAATTAAGATATGTAGCCAAGCTGTAATTGTATCAAAGTCTGCCATGTCAAGGTAGTGAAGCAGGAATTTCTAGGATATGAGAAAAAAATGATTACAAGAGACAAAAATTAATGGAAGGGGGGGAGGCAGGAGGTGGAGAATACTGATATGGTTAACCTCAGGAGCAGATGAATGTGTAACTTCTTAACTGCTCAGAAAAATTAGTTGCTCTCTGAACTGGGAGGTTACAGCCAGGCCTGGGGATGCCAACTGCATTCCAGCTGGGAGATATGAATGTCCCAGCTGAAAGGCCAAGGCTGTGACACTCTGTGAAAGAAATGACATAAGAGACAGGACTTTGAAGACCCTCATTTATTGCATGTAGTGCATAGTGGCATTCCCTTCTCCTCTTGGCAGACTTGGACTATAAAGCCAGCTTTGTCCTCCTTCCTGTGCCATAAATAGGGGTGTTGAGGCTTATCCTGATGTTGAACACAGAGGCAACCAGGAGTGGGAGCTCACGCCCTTATTGCTGAGTCTCTCCTCAATATTGGCTTCATTGGCCAGCTGGGAATCTTCAGTAGATGGTTTTTCCTGTTACGATATGAAAAGACCATCACAACCTCACTTCTTGATTGTTTTTCTTTTATTCATAAATCCTTACACAATCCTAATCACTGTCTATCATGGCAGGAGATCTTCTGGGGAAAATGCCAGGCCTCGATACCCTGAAATAAGCTACATTCCCTCATACTTCATGTCAGGGCTTGTTCTGCCCCAAACCCACCTCAGTTGAGGTAGGAAGCAGCACCACCTCTGCTCCCTCACCTCATGCTGGTAATGATTAAAAAATGCTTCCTCCTCACTCCAACAAGCATGATTGCCCTTAAAAGAGTTGATTTTTTTTCAGCATTTTGGCTCTGGAGGGTGGCCCTGGGATGGGATGAGCACTGTGAGACTGCAGGATTCCCTTCCATACCCCGCCACATGGCTGAACTCCCATGAGGTAATGAAACAATTTACTTCATAATTTAGGCCAAAATATTCTGTTTTAGGCAATCAGCAAAGGCTGGCAGAGGGTTAAACTTGAGGCAATCCCGCCTTTTCTATTTACAACTGTACCCCAACAGCAGGGCAAGGGCAGTAGGCAGCGATGTTGAAAAGAACAGCTGCATGCCATCAGACTAAAGATAGAAACATGAAGCATGTGGACTAATTAAGTTCCCAAGTGGCAGTGTACAAAGTGTACAGACCAAACAGAACAGTGCCTTCTGCTTGTTTTGATCAACTCTGTTTCTATCACTTTGATGAAAATAACTGCTTGATTTGTCGCTGGCTGTGGCTGCCAAGGGATCCCTCACACCCTGAGCTCGGTCGATGTAGCCCTCGTGGTGGCCATTGCACAGCCAGGGAGTGACTGTGGCTCCCCATGTCTGCAAGGGGGCCAGTCAGCAGCACTCACTGCCAGGGGAAAAGCATGAAAAATGTTCAGAACTTTTGAATTTAGTTTCTTGCCTTTTTTTTTTTTTTCCAGTCAGATATAATATTAGACACTTTCACCCTAAATAGGATGAAGTGGGCATGCTCTGACCAGCTTAGCACAACAGCATGGACTTTAATTTTTTATTTTTCCTCTTCTGATGTCTTTCAGTCATTTCTTTTTTTCCTTCAGGGGGCCCAGCAGCCTCTTGGTTAGGTCTGTCAGCTTGCTTGCTAACTGGTTTGTAGCCCTGGTAACTTTTGATGTAGACTGCATGGGAACCAGAACATACCCCCCCACCCCTTATTTTTTTTCTCAGAGTTCTGAGTAGAAAACTACCTTAAGGATAAACATGAAGAAAAAAATTAATCTGAAAATCATCTTCCATGTGGAAAATGAATTTGTGATGTTTCAAAGTCTCTTATGCTCCAATAGGAGGCAGAAGGGACACTTTGGGGCAGTAATCCCACGAGCTGCTCTAGCAAGTTCCAAGAGAGAAAGGCTTGGCTCAACTGTGGTTTTTGCAGTTTATCAGTTGTAAAGCTTGAAGGGCTGGGGCAATTTTGAATTTTTTGCTTGCAATGACTTGCTGTTCTTTACAGTAAGAGCTTAAATTGCTCATATATTTTGCCATGATTGATTTTCAAAATTCTACCAATAGACGGTTAGATACAGTTAAGTCCTTAACCATTTTGTTTGATACAGTATAGTACTTCAATTAACAGTAAGAGTGTCAGCTCTAATATCCCATAGTGGTCACTTGCAGTAGATTGATTTTTTTTTTCTCTTCCTTGTTCTCTTACTGCTGAAGGAGTTCAAACATCTAATTCCTACTTCTGAGCTTCTCGGGTAAGGAGAATACTGCGTAGATAATATTTTTAAGTTGAGGAGTATAATAGTTCAAAGTGTGATAGCACTTCTTAGGTCTTTAAAGACGTGGTTTTCTCCCTTAATTGCGAGAGTCCATTTGGGGAAGGATAAATGAGAGTCTGATGTTACAGTGGTACTATGCACTACAGTTGTAGTGCCAAGCAAAAAATACAACATACCCACTGTTTTCTGAAAGATTTCAGAGATATTGGAAATATTTGACGGAAGTATTTGGATCACTGCTGTGTAATGCTTGTTATTTGCCACTGTGGAGGAAGTGGACCAGTTTCCTTAACCAGGGTTTGCAGCTACATGAGATCAGTTAATTAGGCAAGCAATGAGCAGGTTTATTTATGAAATTTCTGGAGATGACTATGCCTCATAAAGGTCCCAAATCTGCATTACCAAATATTACCAAATATTACCAAATATTACCAAA